TTTTTGTGTTTGTGCTTTCTCGTGTGTTGTTGGGTTCTTTTAGTTTATGTGTTTTTCTCCTGTCTCGAGCGTGTTTCTCCACTTGTGGGAGTATGTCTTTCTCCATTTATAGGAGCGTGTATTTTCTCCACTTGTGGGGGTTGTAGTTTGTGTTAGTGAGTGTATTGTTATGTGTTTCTAATGCAGACTCTAATTAAGGGACATCGAAGTCTCTCTCCCACTAGACTCGGCTCTATAACTGTGTTTCTCAACTGTTTAGTTGTATCTAGATGTATTTATGCGCTTGGTTATAAAATTTCTATCGTAAAAGAAAAAAAGAAAAAATAAAAAAAAAATCTATCTAATCTCCCTATATATAATTCCCGAATGTGCAGAGATTACGTGGCTGCTTCTGGTGCTTCGGAATCGTACTTGGCGAACAATCATGCTTCGTAATTAGGTTTGGACAAATAATATTGATATATTAATAATTAATAATCTAGGATCAGACATTCTATAAATATTATTAGCTAACTTAGGTATTTTAATATCAATTGTACTAATATAACCCTTTAATTCTTTGTAATTTTACATAGTGAGACACTAAGTGACTAATATATCCCCAACTTTTGATTTGTTTCCATCAGTTAGCTATTGGATTATAAATGAATTTTAAAAGTTGATAACTTTTGTATTTCTTATCGGTTTTACATATATAATATATCAAATTAATTATCTTTTCATGATCTTCGATTTGACATCCATATTGTATATATAAAATAAATAAATTATATTTATCTCTATAATAATAAAAAATAATAATATTTATTAAAATTTATTAAAAAAAAATTATTTTTCAGTTGGTATATTTATGTTTAATGTAGTTATATGTTGTAAGTTAAAAAAATTATTATAATATAACACAAGTAAGTCACACAAATAAAAAGTGTCATACTAATAATATAATAATATATATTTTAATAAAAAGTATTTAAATTTTCAACTACTTTTTCTCATTAATTTTAGAATTTAAGGAAAAAAAATTAGCAAGCACTCGTGTAATACACGGGTTGTTGTATTAGTAACTATTTATTATACAACTTCATTGTCTAGAAGGAACTCTTATGTAATAATTTATTATACAATTTCT